CCCAATGACCCAATGAAACATATGGTCACGCAAAAGCTTGTACGCCCATGTTCAGAGCAGCATTATGCATAACAGCCAAAACGTAGAAACAACCCAAAGGTCAGTGAATGGAAGGGGAGGGGAATGGGGATGGGATTTATTTGGGGGGAAATGAAAATGTTCTTGAATCCAGATGTTGGCACAACCTTGTGCGTATACTAAAAGCCACTGAAATGGAATGTGATTTATATCTCGGTTTTTAAAAATGTTAATACAATGAGAAAAGATGCTGGCTACTGTCATTGCGATGAGTAACAGATCACCCTGCATCTCTGACCCACAACTTGCGTCTTCTACCAACAGCCATGAGACGGCTACAAGCTGATCTGTTGGTTTGCAAGGAGGGTCAAGTCACAGTTCTCCACAGGGCGTTTAGGACTTTCTTTCTAGAATCCGACTCCGTGAGCTGAAGTCTTTGCTAGGAGGCTGGGCTGCGTCCACAGGTCTGTGGGAGAGGCTGTCTGTTTCCTGTGGAAGGGACGGGGGCCAAAGGCCAGGTGCTGGCTTTGAAGTAGGCTCGACGCCAAAACAGGGTGCACTGGTGATTCTGAGAGGAGTGACAGAAATCCTCGGAGAGCTCTGCCTTCAAGCACTAAGAGGGTTTTTATTTTGAAGGCTGCCTTCACCAGGCCTTGCCTCTAGGCACCTTGCCTCCCCGACCACCGACCTCCGCAGGGCCTGCCTGCAGGGGCTCCTGTCCCCTGCTGCTGCCCGGTAGCAGGTTCTGCCAGCCCGCCAAGAGGAGGAAAGGGAACCAGGTGCCAAGAATCCCCCACCGACTCCTCTGATTGAATATGATTTCATTTACTGGGTCAACATAAATGACTCCGTTCTGGGCTCCAATATCATCTTCTTCTCTCTTTGTCAGATTAAAAAAAAAATAAAACACCCATAATAGATCCACTTTTATTATGGGCGAGTTATTTACATGTCTTATCGATTATGTGGTTTGGTACTTGGGGGCAACGAGATATGGATTCGGCTCTTGGCTGACCTCAGTGGTCTGTGTGCTTGGACCTCTCACAGAACTTGGCAGCCCCACCTCCGGGGTGAAGGGAACACCCACCGCCCAGAGTTATTACTTGAACTTAACCAAACCACACGAATGAAGTATTTAGCCTATTTCCTGGCGCCTGCCTGGTAATTAAAATATGGTAAGTGGTGTGAAAGGAATGAAATACAGCCTGGGCAGAGAGGACGGAGTTTCATTGACTGGCAAGGGGGCACGGGGAACAGGGAGTTTCTGAACATGTTTAGCTTGCAGCAGGGGCCCCACAAAGATGATTTCTCTCATCCTCCCACATCTGAGCTCCTTGAGGGTCAAGACTTGGCTGTCTCTAAGGTGCTTGCTGAACTTCAAGCACGTTATTTTGCATATAGTAGATGCTCCCCACAAAAAGTCAGGGGATGCTTCAATTCAGGAGATTACGCTTCCATTTTCCTTCCCTCTGAACTTCAGATGCACTTATTACACATTTTAAATACTTGTGTGATTCTATAATGATTTCAGGTTTGTTGACTCAGCCTCCCCAAATAGACAGTGAGACCCCTGGGTTCAAAAATCCCCGTGCTAACATTCTAAGTGTCACAGCCACCGACTCCACGGGTCCGTTCCCAAGTGAACTGAGTGCAGGTTTTGGCTGAGACCCGACTGCCCCCCGTGCCCGAAGGACGGGCACCTGACCTCTAATGAGACCCCTCCCTGAAAACAAGCCGCCTCGCTGCAGCCCTCCATCCACCCAGAGCAGCGAGTGGGGCGACCGGCCGTCCCGGTTCACGTGGGAGGCGTGGGGACGAACCGCGCAGGAGGCTAGAACCGGGAAAGTCCCAGGCAAACGGGGAGGAGGCGGTCAGCCCAGTCGCCACCTGTGACTGCGTGCACACTCATCGCGCTAAAACATCCTTAAAGCTGGTGACGTTCAGCTGCTGGCCGATTAACGTCACATGGGGGAGCCCCAAAAGGAGAGGCAGCGGAACGGAGAGTACCTCAGAGATGTCCAGAGGAAGGTTGCCAACATACACCTCGGTCTCCCTCTTCTTGAATCCTAAGAAGGAAAACAGCATTAAGACGGCAGGTGTCAGGTGAGAAGGTTCAAAGGCGGGGAGGCATGTGATCGGTGACACATTTTCTTCAATGTGAAAACACACCCCCCCACAAGCATCCCTCCCCTCGGGAGCAATGATCGGCTACACTGCAGTCAGTGCTAAGAGGCCCGGGGGAAAGTGCGGGCCGCGGACATCACCGCCTTCAAGGCGGCAGCTCGCTGGCTCTGTGGGGGACGGCGTCACCAGCATCCCTGGAAGCCAGTGCTTTCAATGAGATGTTATGGAGTATCTGGGTCCAGGGGATTGCGTTTCAGAGTTAACATGAAGCAGGGGTGGGGGGAAAGGAATCCGGGCAGAGGGACCAGCACGTGCAGAGGCCGGGAGCTATGAAAAGGCCTGGCGCCCGCGGGCAGCTGCATGTGGTCGGGAACAGCTAGCGGCACGTGCATGAGGGTGAACGTGAGAGAGGAGGCCAGGCCACATGGGGAAATCCGCTGGCTGGGAGGAGGAGAGGTTTTCACCAGAGGTGACATCCACAGCTGGGTTTTAGAAAGACCGCTCTGGAGACAGGGGAGCGTGCAATGGGAGAAGGTCAGCGTTAAAGAGAAGCACGGAGTGAGCAGCAGCAAACGCAACAGTGACGGGGCCTGGGCCACGGCAGCAGCAGGGGGGACACATCAGCCACGTACACGGAAAGGTGGTGGCTGACGGGGGCAAGGGCAGGATCGAGGTGGGCCCCAAGCTCATGCAGGAACAGGAACCGAGGAGATGAAATAAGGTCCACGTAGAGACGGAGGGTCCCAGCACCAACCGAGCCCCCAGGCTAACTCACGCAGAGGCTTCTGCTCCTCCATCACCCCCTTCTTCCCCAGCGGTTCCGCTGCGGGTCGGTCACGGCTGCCCCAGAACCTATCAAAACAGGTCTCAGTGTCTCACCTCCCAGGCCCAAGCGCCAACAAAAGTCTGGGCATCGGCAGGGGCCCTGCCTTTTTTGCGTCTCCCTTCCTCCCCCCCATCCCCCCCAGACTCAGGTTCCAAACCAGGAAGCCCTCCACGGGACCTTTGTCATTGCTAATCAACAGGCAAGAAATCTGGGGGTGACCCCTAAGCTCCGGGCACCGCGCGCAGGAAGAGAAGGAAGAGAAGGCTCTGAGGAAGGAGGCTTGTTTGTCACAAAAGGAAACGACTTACATGCTGCAGGCTTCCCAACAGGATCTGCTGCAGAGCCAAGCAGCCGGTTAGAGGCGTGCCAGGGACCTCCACCAGCACTTAACTACCCAGCAGGTGCTGCGGCCGCCCCCAGGGGGTCCGCGTACCCACCCCCAGCACCTATTCAGGATTCCAGTCACCAATCCCAGTGCGGGGTCTCCACACCACCAAGCACTGCTCCGGACGTCAGCTGGCGTCCAACGCCTCTACTCAGCTCTAACACCATCCACCTGGAAGGAGCGGGAGAGGCCGCAGGCGAAGGGCTATGGTTATCAGCTGTGCTTCTGGCCGGAGGTTCCCAAGACCTCCTCCCTGGGCTCGATCCATTTGCTGGAGCGGCTCACAGATGTGCGCAGCCGGGTGGGAGAGATGCAAGGTCCGGGGAAAGGGGGCAGAGCCTGCAGGCCCTCCAGGCCAGCCGCTCTCCCCAAACCTCCCCTGCTCACCAGCCCAGAAGCCCTCGGAACCCTGTCCTTTGGGTTCCTATGGGCCTCATTACACAGGCAAGACTGATCACATCCTGGGCACTGGCAACTGGTTCAACCTCCAGCTTTTCCCCCCTCCTCTGAGGGGACTGAAGGGTTGGTTCCAGGTTCTATTCCGGTCAAGGGCATGTGCCTGGGTTGCAGGCACATCCCCAGTGGGAGATGTGCAGGAGGCAGCTAATCGATGTTTCTCTCTCATCGATTTTTCTAACTCTCTATCTCTCTCCCTTCCTCTCTGTAAAAAATCAATAAAATATATTAAAAAAAAAAAAAATGAAAACCCTAACTTAACTCTGGTGCCGTGTCACATACAGGAATTTTTCGATATTTGCAACCATAGTAAAACAAAGATTTATATTTTCGATATTTATTTTATATATTTAAATGCCATTTGACAAAGAAAAATCAACCAAAATAATGAGTTCGCGTGTCACCTCTGACACGCGTGTCCTAGGTTCGCCATCACTGCCCTAAAGGCTGGAAAAGGCAAAGAAACAGTTCTCCCCTTCAGCCTCCAGAAGGAACGCAGCCCTGCTGACACCTGGACTTAGCCCAGGGAGACACGTCAGACTTCTGACCCACAGAGCAGGAGTTTTGTTTTTGTAAAACCACTACACAAGTGGGAATTTGTTATAACAGCAAACAGAAGATAGTTACCATGAGCAAATTTAAAACCACATCCATCTTGCCCTGGCCGGTGTGGGTAAGTGGTTAGAGCATCTGCCCACGCACTGAAGGGTCTCAGGTTCATTTCCAGTCAAGGGCATGTACCTGGGTTGCAGGTTTGATCCCTGATCCCAGTCAGGGCAAGTATGGAAGGCAACCAATCAAGTGTGTCTCTCTCACATCAATGTTTTTCTCTCTTCCTCCCTCCCTCCCTCCCTCCCTTCCTCCCTCCTACCAGTAATCAATGGGGGAAAAAAAATATCCTCAAGTGAGGATTAACAAACAAAAATATTTAAAAACCACACCCACCTCCATACGGTGGTCTGCGTGTGGCTGGCACGGGGCCTTTGGCTGGTAGAGATGTGGTTCAGAGTCCAGCCCAGAGCCCCGGGGCACATTTTATCTGTCAAATGAGCCCTCTGCCCTCGATTGCCAGGGTGAGGGGCGGTGCTGTGCTTAAAGCACTTGCCCCGTGTTAAGAGCTCAATAAATGGTGGCCACTGGCTTTCATTTTATGCATTTCGCCAGCCCTTTCCTATGACCCTGTGGAGTACTGACTTCTCACTCCACAGACGGGAAAGGCAAAGTTCAAGGACATCAGATGATTTCCTCATGATTATAAAAGATATAGCGGTAACCCGGGTCCGTGGCTCCGAAGGAAGCCCTGGTTCTTTTCCTACAGATACCACGGCTGTGAACGTCACAGTAAAGGGTTTTCTTCTTTCCTTTCCTTAAAACGTTTAATTAAAACATGACATTTTTAAAAAACACGGCAACTCTCTAAACTGTTCCCAGCTGTAGCAGGCAACCACAGCTTTAGCTGCAACTACCTTTAAATAGAACTCGATGTGATTAAGATAATTAAAAGACATTGGCAGAGGAAAATAAAAACAGAGAGAGGCTGATGGGCAGAATCAGGGTTGTGGGTGTCTGTCCCAATCTCATGGAACCCCCAGAAAAGTCTACTGGCTTCTGGAACAAGGCCGGCACCAATACCGCCCAAGCAAAGGCCCGGCACAACGATGCCTTTCAGGGCCTGCCAGGTGCTAACAGCTCATATAGGTTGCTGTTGCTCACGTACTCCTCACTGGAAGCTCTTAAGAGCTGTACATTATTACCCCATTGTACAGAGGAAGTCCTGGAGGCTCAAAAAAAACAATCATCTGGTAATTTGTTCAAGATAACGATCTAAGCTCATTAATGGAGAACCCTGTTTTTGGAATCCAGACAACACCACTCTAAAGGGAGTTTCCACTCTATTGCTTGGCCGGGAGAAAAATCTGTGTTTTAAAAAAGACAAAGAATATATAAAGAGCCTGTACAATTCAATAACAAGATAAAGAAACCAACTAGGAAGTGGACAAACGACCTGATCAACATTTCTCCAAAGCTATACAAGCGGCCGGTAAGCCCACAAAAAGATGCTCAACATCATTAGTCATTAGGGAAATGCAAATCAAAACAATGACAGCCTTGGCCAGTGTAGCTCAACGGTTAGATCCTCGGCCCTCGGACGATTCCAATCCCCAGTCAGGGGCACATACCTCCCTTGCAGATTTGATCCCCCGCCTCGCATCCCAGTCTGGGTGTGAGCAAGAGGCAGCCAGTCGGTGTGTCTCATTTATATCAATGTTTCTCTTTCTCTGTCTCTCCCCCTCCCTACCACTCTCTCTAAAAATCAGGAAAAAAAATATCCTCAGGTGAGGATTAACAACAACAAAAAATCCATTGCTTGGGGATGTATCTTTATTGATTCCAGACACAACTGCATTGCAGGTTCCCTTCAGTTGAGTAATAACCCTGTGAAAGTGCTGACTCTTCTAGATGGTATTGGAACGTGCTCCCTTCCTGTTACCTCTTTAATTATCATTGCTCTTAAGAGCTGTACATTATCACCCCATTGTACAGAGGAAGTCCTGGAGGCTCAAAAAAAACAATCATCTGGTAATTTGTTCAAGATAACGATCTAAGCTCATTAATGGAGAACCCTGTTTTTGGAATCCAGACAACACCACTCTAAAGGGAGTTTCCACTCTATTGCTTGGCCGGGAGAAAAATCTGTGTTTTAAAAAAGACAAAGAATATATAAAGAGCCTGTACAATTCAATAACAAGATAAAGAAACCAACTAGGAAGTGGACAAACGACCTGATCAACATTTCTCCAAAGCTATACAAGCGGCCGGTAAGCCCACAAAAAGATGCTCAACATCATTAGTCATTAGGGAAATGCAAATCAAAACAATGACAGCCTTGGCCAGTGTAGCTCAACGGTTAGATCCTCGGCCCTCGGACGATTCCAATCCCCAGTCAGGGGCACATACCTCCCTTGCAGATTTGATCCCCCGCCCCACGTCCCAGTCCGGGTGTGAGCAAGAGGCAGCCATTCCGTGTGTCTCATTTATATCAATGTTTCTCTTTCTGTCTCTCCCCCTCCCTACCACTCTCTCTAAAAATCAATAGAGCCCGGCCCACGTGGCTCAGTGGTTGAGCATCGACCTATAAACCAGGAGGTCACGGTTTGATTCCTGGTCAGAGCACATGCCCGGGTTGTGGGCTCGATCCCCAGTGTAGAGCATGCAGAAGGCAATCAATGATTCTCTCTCATCATTGATGTTTCTCTCTCTCCCTGTCCCTTCTCTGAAATCAATAAAAATATATTTAAAAAAATAAAAATTAATGGAAAAAATATCCTCAGGTGAGGATTTTAAAACATTAATAACCCACAATGACACCACCTCACACTACGATGGCTATAATAAAAAGGACAGACAACAATAATGTGTTGAGGATGTGGAGAAATAGGAACCCTCACATTGCTGGCAGAAGTGTAAAATGGCGCAGTCACTTTGCGAAAATAGTTTGTCAGTTTCTCAAACAGTTAAACAGAGAATTCCATGTGGCCCAGCAATTCCACTCTGGGGTAGCTACTCAAGAGAAATTAAAACGTGTGCCCACACAAAGACTCGTTCACAAATGTTTGCAGCAGCCTTGGTGGGAACATAGCTGCAAAGTGTGAGCAACCCGAAGGTCCAACAGCTGATGTGTGAATGAATCCATCAGATGTGGCGTATCCGTACGATGGAATATTAGTCAGCAACACGGAAGGAAGGACGTTCGGATAAATGCTACCACGTAGATGAGTCTCAAAACGTGAAGCTAAAGGGAAGAATCCAGACACAGAGACCACATGTTGCGTGATTCCACTTACATGCAGTCCAAAGTAGACAAATCCGTAGAGAGAGAAAGCAGATTAGCGGCTGCCTGGGGTGGGAAGGAGGAGATGGGAGGAGCTGGAACTGCTAAGGGGCACAAGGCTGCCTTCTGAGGTGAGGCAAGGCTCTAAAATTAGAGTGCGATGCTGGCTGTACTGTAAATATATTAAATATTTTTAACTGCACACTTCAACCGTGAATTTTATGGTGTGCAAGTGCTATCTCAATAACACTTTTTTTTTTTTTAAGTCAAGAAACATTTTCAAGACTGGCTGGTGTAAGCGAGCAAAATCACTCAGTCCCCGGGGCTTGCAGTGAGGATTTAAAACACATTTGTAATTCCTTAACTAATAAAGAATTTAAAGATTAAAAAAAACACACACAAATAAAACGTATCGTATGAGCCTCTGTGGCACGTTTAGGTTTTTTTAGCTAAAAAATAATAATATTGCTTCCTAAAGCAGGGTGGTGGCAGAGGCCTCTCTTAACGGAGAGGGTCCCACAGTTCCGAGCAAAACGCTGCCCACCGCACAGCTTCAGTCCCGCTGTCCGCTCCCCCTCCGCCCCCCCATTCCCACCAAAACCCTCGGCAGGCGTCCCTTCCGTAAAAGTGCACCCCGCCACCTGCGGTGTGAATGGGGTGCGAGTCCCGCAGCTGCCACCCACCGCCCGGG